TCGGATTACCCTTCCACATCCCGAATATCGTGAGCGTACATCGAGCGGTTAAGATTTGTGCCCAACTGTTGACGCACGGACGGACGGACAATCATGCGATTCTACAAGCTGCATCTGACTACATCAGATGAGCTAAAAACTGGGTCAATCAGGAATTAGCAGCTACATGGGTACCACGTAGGTGCCTCAACCCGTTCAAAAATCGTAGATTACATGCAACAAATGGCTCAAAACTTGAGGGGGTGTGGTATTTAAAATTTAATTTTGTTAAAAAAACGAGGTTTGCATGCTATCTGCTGGTGCCATATGACCACGAGAGAATTAAAGATAATGAAAAGATAAGTGAGACTGAATAGATTTATTCACAAACCAATGGAATAAAGTCAAGTTGAATACTGCTTAGAGATGCTGTGATAACCGTGGGTAACACTTTTTCTATTATCTACTTGTTGTGTAAATATACATTTGGCTTTGTTCACGTATCGAACGCCAGTCCTCACCCTTACAGACCTTTCGCAGAAAATAAAGGGGTCAAAAGACAAACATTGTATGGAAACCACCTCTTGTTTCAATTTACATTGTAGTCTGTTGATATAGCTAGATACTCAGTAATTTATGGAAGAACGCATATATCCGAATAATAGTTACCTGATTAGCTACGTTAAGTAAAGCAAGGCGTCCCGATTCCGAAACAGTGAAAGACATGATAGGATGGTCCTCCTGTATCCTACATACAGAATGAAGTAACTGTTACATCTCACCTTAACTACAGTAGCATTAATGCTGCATGTTTTATAAATGAATCACACAGTGAAAGCACACTAAAACCATGAACAATACTTTATAACTTATGCACTTTTGTAATACCTCATTGCAACATATTACTATTACCTGTAATTTTACATTGGACGAGGAAATGTTGTCACACTTGCCAGAGTCACACTAGCATCAACACAATACAGTTCAGAACTTCTACGCAATAGTGTTAGAAAAGGTAGTCAAAACTGAGGCAAATAATTTACCACACATTATCGAGACTTGTCCTGAAAAAAGTGATGTTAGTTATGCACTAAATGCATAAAAGTATGCTGTAAAATATATATACACGTATAATACTTGTAGATTCCACAAGAAATTTCACTATTTAGGTTGGCTAAAAACCACGTTTCTATGTGGTAACATGCACATTGTGCAGTTGTGGCCATTCACAGTTACTAGAGCTTCACTGCCGGGATATCAATGATGACAACGATGTTAAGTAACAGAACACTCACACTTGGGAATCGCTCAACTCTTCAAAGTTGTAGATACGAATGCGGTGGTGAGTGTCAGCAGCATAGACAGTCTTGCCATCGTTCCGACACCACAGGCATTGCACCCGCACTCCCTCCCAGGAGTCCAATAAGTTTCCATCTAGGTCCTGTTGGTAAAATGCAAAAATATTTAACATCGAACCTGTCATAACAAAGAACATCTCAAATGCTGATAAAATTACATAGTGTGTCGAGGACGAAGCCAAGTAGAACGTTACGTAAATGCACGTCGCTAGATAGAAAAGTGAGCAGGGATGCATATAAGAAATATAGCAGGTGCTGGCACAAATGTCTAGCATGAGCAAACCAAGTAGGAAGCACATGCTACTGGAGTGAGCTTATATAGACAAGATAAATTATTGCCAAAGCCAGCAACATGCTATGATTTATGATGACTTATACAGTTATATCTACTAACAACAAATCACTCACGCATTGGTAGAACTGGCCACGTGTGCCACCACACACAAACTTTTTCCCATCTTTGTGAAAGGAACAACAGATGAGGCTGTCTTCAGGTGAATGGCTGATTTTTACTCTTTGCTCTCCAGTCTAAAAGTACAATTAGGTATATTTATTTTTCTCAAAAATGTACATGGGAACAGACTTCACAGAACTGACAGCAATTTCATACAAAAGGAACAGTAATGAACTTGTCATTAAATATTTCAACATAATTCTAACACTTTTTAAAAACTAGCACCAAAGAACAACTGAAGAATGTGATGCTACTGATAGTGATACACCATACTAAAATTTTTAACCATGTGATAATAATTTATCAAGAAGAGCTAAGCCTCAATTATTGCATTCTGGTTGAACCAAAACGTGTCGGTGACGTGATTAACATGATGTATCATGTGAGGTGACATAAGTATTCTTTCATACCTCAACGTTCCACACCCACAGTTCAGAGCAATCATCGGGGCCACACGCCGCAACGTATTTATCATCGGGTGACCAGGAAATGTATGATACACCATATGAATGACCATCAAACGTTCTTCGATGCTTCAACTGATGGGTATCCTAGTTAGAACAAAACAAACATATATAGCAGAATAAACTAAATGATTTGAAACACTAAATTAGATAAATAACAAAAACCAGCTGAGACACCTTGACACCTTTCCATCACAGCTTACAGGAACTATTGAGAAAAGTTGAGATGATGGTTATTTGCACATACCCTTATATTTTATCTTTTCCCATTAGCTTCTAGGTTTCCCATCTGAATGAATTAGATGTTGGGAAATAACAGACAACCTGTGTATTGCCCGAATTAGGGGTGCTTTGCTCACTGCATTTACATAAGTAAAAGCTTCATATGAAATTGCCACCCACCATGTCTACATCCCAGATGATTAGTGTCTGGTCCTTAGAACCTGTGGCCAGCATTGTTCCATTGTGGGAAAATCTGCAGAACCAAACCTCATCACAATGATCATTCAGCGTCTGCATTACCTGGCAGGGAAACTGCTCCCTAAAAAAAAAAAAAATTGAATCGGACATGTAATAAACCTGTACCACGTATATAAGCGTCATAGAGATTAAGATAATGTTATTGCGCACCTAGTCTAGCCCAAACTCATACCCTGACAGAAATCGTATGCACCATAACATGGAAACTAGGTCAATACACTTGGTAATAATGGGGAAGATAAGAAATTCTAACATACACCAGGGCCAGAAAAAAAACAAAAGATGTACAGGGTACTGCATTCACCCTGTTTCTACCTGCTGCACATGTGATCCATGAGAAGAGACACATTTTCCAGGCCAGTATTTACGGTTGTATTGTGATACGGACAACGCTCCTGTTGCAGTTCCACAGCCTGCAGCAGCAAAGTCTGCAGCCTCCTTGGAGGCAACATCACAGATGGTGGAAGAAATGCTGCAAAACATGCAACACTATGTTAGGCTGCCAACCCATTTATTTTAAATAGCATAACTAAAGAATTTCCACAACCATGGGGTGAAGTTGAGAATTTATTAATCATCTTTAAAAAGTTTAAAAAGAACTTTTATTAAAAATCTCAAAACAAATTATGTAATATTTTTGGATAGAATTAAAAGAGGGATTTGTTACATGATTTCATTTAAAACTGAATTCCTTCAATGTTTGCTTAACTCTTCTCATAAAAGGCAAGAGCTTATTATATGGTACAAAAATTCTTCACTATTACTTTTAGCCCTTTTTAAAATCGCAAAATAAATCTGTTAAAAGACACCGGGTTTCTCATTGGGACTGTTAGATAAAAAATCAATTCCGATTTAATATCTGAATTTTTAATACAGACCTTAATGTTAAAACTTATGCTAACATATTTTGCACTGAATATAAATGCAAATATAACTATTGAAAGCTCTTTAAAGCTACTTTTCATGCCAAAGACCACGAAATGAAAACAAACACTAAAAACGTTAAAAACACACACGTGGTTTGGATTCTCTGCAGTTGACCTTTGACCAATGCCATATAACAATATCTAGACACCCCTACCCTCTTAGCTACAGCCTAGATGCCATGTTTCATCTAGCAAGTATATTCTCACACTAAAAAACACTCAACTCTACTGCTATTGTGTTCTTAGTTGTTGACAAATCTACATACATTGTAGTTTTTCCATAAGTTTAATGCGAGACGAGGGTCCTTTCCCTTCCCATTTCGCAGTTTGCATAAGCTCTTCTGGAGTACTGCACATCATGTACCTGACAAAGACCAGTTCAAATTTGAAACTACATACATACCACATATTTCCACATTATTTTCTCCACATCCCATGGTAAACATGCATGCATTCTATGTGGTACAATAATTATATATTCACACAATATGTAAAAACTTGGCTCATTTTAGAAATATACGATCAGAAATACATAATAAAGGGTACATAATACTCTTCCGTATATATATATAGCAACCAGCACACAGAATATAATATCAACCAACTAGGTACTAACTGTAGATGCCTACAAGTTACAACCACTGCATTTATCTATGTGAGTGGACCTACCCACTAAGTTCGTGCACACGCTCTGTATTGTACTTCAGTGGTGTTAACTCATGTCGCAGGCACTGAAGTGCTTCCAACATTCGTCCATCTTGCAGACCCTCCAAGTATTTTTGTTCAAGCAGCAAAAAATTCATTTTCTGCGCAATGAAAAATGTCTTAGAAAATTCCAATGACAATTACACATAGCCATCAATATATATGGAATCAGTGCCCCAGATTTGCTGATCAGTGTGGTCCCTATCATTCAGATTGTATAGGTAAGAGCATACATGATGTTATGTCACCAACAGTAAGTAGTAAGAATCAGCTTTATGAGGAGCGGATTTCATGTAAAATATGTAACTTGAATATGCTCTAGTTACAACTGTGCTCCGACTAATGATAGTTACATTTCTTTACGTCTCATCACATATTTAGGTTTTCGTTGCGTGTATGATTGTGACGGTGTTCCTGCTCCTGTATGTTATAAAAGCAGCAAATCTATGTGTCTGACATCTTCAAAATGTATTATGTACATGAACATATTCCCATGCTTTGTCTGAGATTAAGGTTAAAATAAACAATACCTGTGTTCCTTCAGGCTCATCAACAAGTCTACCTAATTCATCCAGGTCTTCTTTAGCCTATAACGCAAAGTGGTATAATAGTAAGAAGTGAAGGATATCTGGACTATTGAAATGCCATCACAAACAGGCTATATTAGAAAGGCAGAAATAATGTTAACCACTGGTGAACACAGCTTTGACATAATTAAAATGTTTGAATGTACATTTGTAAAAAAAGAGGAAAATTTCAAATCAGCAATGACATATTATTAATTTGTCATGCAACTCTGATGATGGTCAATCAGTAAATCTACCAGTAGTACACTGTACATAACATGCCATGCTGTACACACTTTATTTGCACCTTTCTGCCAAATGTTTAGTGCAAAATTGCAGTCAATGAGTACATCTACCAAGACCACATTGTGCATTACATGCTACACTGTATTAGCATAACCTTTCTGCCCAATTATTTGCAGCAACATGACACGAACAGTCGTTCCTGTGCCCAAGTAATGTCCAATTGATTCACTACATCCACATAGCTTTATGAGAGCACGCTGTGACAGCATGCCTGCATGCACATAGGTTTAAATATGCATATTACCATACAAAATCAATAATAATACAGAAAAGACAAGCAAATAATATGGATCGGGCATATTTTCTGTACAGACACAGCTTCACAATTCACTTACTTTTTCCCAGTCTCCATCCATCACATGTTGCCTGAACTGTGCAGCAGATGGATGCTCGAGTCGGCACCCAGATTCCAGCATCAACTGGCCAGCTGTGCGACTGAAACACATTTCAAAAGTGACAAAAGGAATGAGGGGAATAAGTCAACAAATAAAATTCATGAAAATTGCCATTGGTAATCAATTCAGAAAGATTCACTACAACAGTAACATGCATGATATACAAAACGTTCATTTGGGACATAAATTTTAGGCGCTGTAGCAACTGTACGTAACGCGGGCTATAGTACTAGAGCTAGGTTCATACTGTACCATTAATGTTTTAATAATTAATATCTTATATGCAGCACCACCACTCAGCAATTTGGATAAAACGATGCAAGTAGATAAATATAATATATTTCCCATGAAACTTTTAGCTTCTTATCATTGAGTATTGCATTATAATCAAACTATTGGAGGCCCCTTTCCTAAGGTAATCTACTGTAATCTAGTGACAGTAGTGTTGGTGTGTTGCTGTTCATAAGCATCCATACTTTAGTCCCAATCCTCGTAGGTGCTGTCCAATCAATCGAATAATGTCCTGGTCAGATTTAGACATGGGAGTCTTCAGACGTTCGTCCTCATGTCTATCCATTTCTCCATTCGAAGCACAAGCCCCATTCTCCACGGAATTGCGAGTGTTCTCCGCGACGAAGTCTCCATTGTGTTGTTGAACTTGGATATCAGGGCCACCATTAGCCTGGTGCATGATATCAGCTGTTAAACGCTGTTTTTTTCGCGGTGGGGGGGACGATCCACCGTCGTCCGAATCTGATGATGATGCCAGGGCGTTGACCAAATCGCCGGTGGCCTGTATTTTGACAAAATACACGCCACGTCGTCACAATTTCAATCAGAATATGACGCAGATCTGAGACATTTCACAACACGAAATCCAGCTGTATTATTTTGGTGGAGACGTCATCGGGGGCTCGTAAGGGTAATGACGCATGCGCATTATTGGCTTGACGAAAAACATGGCTGCCCCCATCAGACACTCTGCGAAATATAATGATTTGACTATTTAGAAATGGCAAGCCAGTGTCATTGGCGTACCTTGAATTATATAATAGTTTAAGGGATAATGGACCGGTGGTAACCACATTATGGCACATTTATATTTTATGCCGTTTGCATCACGTCGTATTTTAATTTTAATGGAATCAAAATCACATGTCTTCAATAGTCGCGTAGCCGTAGGCATCAGACCACTTCATTCAATCACACCTACGTGGTTTACCCATGAAGAGGTGGGTAGCAAAATTTATATAAATACTAAAGTCATACTCATAGTGTGTGATATCATATCATATGAATCTGGGTGTCACACTAACAGCAGACCTTCGATGGCACAACCACATCAGCTCAATCTGTAGTAAAGCAAATGGAACCCTATCATTCCTGAGAAGGAACCTAAATATTTCCTCAATGGAAGTTAAATCACTTGCCTATACCTCATTGGTTAGGCCCACGGTGGAGTATGCCAGCACGGTATGGGATCCATATCAGGCGCAGGACTGCAAACATCTTGAAATGGTCCAAAGACGAGCAGCGAGATATGTCTCAAACCGCCACCACAACAGGTCGAGTGTTACTGACATGCTTGAAACACTCAACTGGCCGACGCTGGAGTCAAGACGAAGGGTTGCCCGTTTGGCTATGATGTACAAGCTCGTCAACGGCATGGTCAACGTGGATACCAACAACCGTCTGATACCACCTACTCGAAGCACCAGGAACATGTCAGAGCACTCGTTTCAAATCCCATCCTGCAGATGTGACTACAGGAAAGGCTCCTTCTTTCCCAGGTCAATTACAGAGTGGAACGCCTTACCCACTGAAGTGGTGACAGCCGGAAATCTATGTTCCTTTAAGTCTCTAATTACTGCCTAAACGACATCAGGGCAGTTTTTTTAAGTAAAATTTGCTTTTTCGGTTTTTTTTCTTTAGAAAATCAAGGGAAGGAAAATTTTATTTAAGTCTCAACTAGCTCCTCTCGTTGGCATAATCATCAGTATGTTGATGGTGGCCAATATAGCGTAGAAGTAGAAGTAGAATCGGCAAATAAACTTCTGGCATGGTTATGGTAACTGCATGGATGGTACTGAATCATGAATGCGGTTCAAGGATAGAGAACATGGGTCCCAATAAAACCAATGTCATTTACATCAATATCAATATAATATTATATCAATATAATAGGTTAGGGTTAGGGTTAGCCTGTTAGGCACATTGGTTTTATTGGGACCCATGTTCTCTATCCTTGGGCCCTGAATGCTGATCTTTACGCTCACATCGGTATGATCGTATGACATGTCATATGGCCCATCAATGCCAATGGCAATGCATCCAGAGAGACCGGGTACAAGATGGCGTTGCGCAAAAGATGCGTTGTTCCCCGACCGCCAAGAGCGGTTAAGCCGCGCACTTCCGCGGGACTGGGCGCACGCGACCGCGGTGTGTTGTATGTAGCATCTCGCGATGCCCGCTATACGAATTCGCGCGCCGAAGGAGGGCGGGCGCGCGAATCCGTATAGCGGGAAGCGTAACATCGCGCAGTTTTCATCACACCTACACCGGCTCGGCTACGGCGGCCTTGGTTGGGGGCATTTGCTGCTGCTGCTTGCTTGTTGCGCGCTGCGCGGCAGGGGCGAGTATTTGTTGCTGCCGCTGCTTTCCCAGTATCTACGATTAGCTACGTGTAAAAACTGGCACGGCCACGCCACCACGTGCTCGCAGTATTCGCCGGCCACGCCAGCGCAGGTGCTCGCACGACGTGCCGTTGCCACGGGCAGCGCGGGGTCAAAAGGTTGGTCCAAACATGGCACGTACGCAGCCGGCGCCGCCACGGCGGCATCGCATTTGGAGATAGCGCTAGACCGCGCCCCCCCACGTGGAGCGCCGTATATGACACTTCGTAAAAAGCTCTGTGATAGAAATAACGCTATACTCGGCCATAGCGCCCGTCATCGCGTAGCGGCCAATGAGCGAGTGCTTCATCGCTGATTGACGGCATTTCTTGGGTTTCCTTGTAGGAGCCACTACGTCTTAGCCATGAGGCGCGCCACCCCAAAAAAAGTTTAGGGGCCGTTTAGAGATGGCCTCAAGCCGTCCATCCCGAAATGTCGGTTTGATTGCACCCAGTTTTCGCGGAGTGCGTTTTCAGACCCCTGTTTGAGGTCTGTCTGAGGTCTGTCTAACTGGACAAAAAGGGGGCGGCGTGTTCACTGTTGGGGCGCGGCTTCGCAGCTGTGCGCTGCGCGCAAAAACCGGGGCCGCAAGTCCGTCAAGACCATGAGACATACATTACATTTTGCTTCACCACAGGCCCAGATGCGTCGGCGTGTGGCAGAGCAAAAAGCTATGTTACGTAGCTAGAAGTAGCATTTATAAATTATACAACAACTGACGTTTTGCTTACAGTAGCGGGAAACGTGTGTTATTCTCAAAACTAGTGGCACTATTAGTATTAGTGATTAAGTAAAGAATGCCATATTGAGAAGAAATATTTATACTTTGGGAATAAGGGTATTGTATGTGATAATAAATAGTCACTGATGGTGTAAATATTGTTGTTTTCGTTAACACATTTGTGATCGTGTCAATACATGATCATATTCCATGATTGCTACTTGGCAGGAAATCACCTGCTGCTGCTGAGAGGGTCTATGTCCCCCAGGGTACTGCCGGAACGTACCCTGGGTACGGTCCGGTATACCGGAACGTACCCTGGTACTATCTAATATGCCGGACCGTACCTCGCCTACTCCACTAACGAGTCTAGGGAGTCGCCTACGCCTACTCCCTAACCCTTACCCTAACCCTAACTCTAACCCTAACCCTAACCCTAACCATATCAGATAGTTACCAGGGTACGTTCCGGTATACCGGACCGTACCCAGGGTACGTTCCGGCAGTACGCTGGGGGACATGGACACTATGAGCCCTGCTGCATGCTGCCACCCCTGCTAGGAAATTTGCAGAACAATTTGTCAGAACAGTTTCCAGATAAATTTTACATTAGTGAATCTTGCATGCATGCATGCGGCTTTACGTGTGGCTTTACTGTTTGTCCATCTATTCATCAACAGATTGGCAATCTCAGTATGTCAATTCAGAACTGAATATCAATCTCAAGAAAAGCCCTGATCTTATTGCTACAAATATTGGATCTCCAAAGTTTTGCCAGTGTTATTAAAAGCGCACGCACGCATGCATGTACGCTTAATTGCATACACGCACACACGCACACACATAGCCAGATATAGATCTATATAATAATATATACTGAAACTCAAGGCAATAATAGATAGATATTAACAGTATATTTGAAATAGAATTAGCATTAAAAAAGCTGCATTAATGTATTATTATGTCAGACATGTTTAATTTTATTTTAAGGGCTGTGAAGTATCTGACTATACTCTACAAAAGCGGCACAAGAAACTTCTTTTCAGAAGAAATCGGCATGCAGAGAGTATGTATGTTATCAATGAAAGGGTTGCAGACATGTTGCTAGACAAACTAGGAAATGATCTCAAGCAGGATAGTGGGAGGTCCATATTTGAAATCAACCCAGGTTCGTTTTTATTTGTATTCCAAATGTTCTCATAATAACAAATTAACAATTTCCAATAGCTTGTTTATAAATGGACTTATTATTAACAAAATATGTTTATTATTGATGAATTAGTTAGTTCCAGCATTGAGTGATGTGATTAATTTTAAAGTTTTCACACATGAATGTATTCACAATATCTGTGATTTGCAACATAATTGTCATTTCTAAATCATGAAGCTGTATTTGTTTATACAAACTTTGCAGTCCTTACATCAAACTAAGGTTGTGTTAATGTGCGGGTGTTTTTTCCTATTTTTACAGGTCCAGGAGTTCTAACCAAGAAACTGTTGCAAAGTGGATTTGAGAGGATACGGGTGTTTGAACCCCATAATGAATTCATACCATACTTGAAGGTATCAAACTTGAGTCTGCTTTTGAGTTTGCTGTGAATATCTAGTGATAAGAATTTGTAATAATGTCACTTGGTTATGCATTAAATATATTCAACATATGTGCAATTACACGTGAGTATAGTTGTTTAACACACACGCACATATTTCCTACAGATTCTTGAATCGCAATATCCTCACAATTTGGTGCTTGTACCTAAAGACCTGACCACTATTCACACGTTATCTACACGATGTAAAACGTCTGAGTCCACCATGTTAGAAGGAATTTCTCGTCGACCTTGGCATGAAGGTACTGGTAATTAAACACACTGATAACCCCTAGGACAAGATGATATTGAAATAGTTAGCTGTTTTAAATACGGTATTATATCGTTGGTAATTATGATGTTTCTCCAATTTCAATTTGTTATTTGAACTGGAATGCATTAAAGAATTTAAAATTTAACTTAGAATTATGCAAATACCTGGAAATCGAAGCAGATGATAATCAATATATAAAGTTATAGGTTAGGTAAATTATGCACTTAGAGTAAAATAAACCGCATGCTGTTTATGTTGCATTGATGTTCCACAGACTCACCAGTAACGATTGTAGGGGTGCTCCCATGGAAACAGTACACATTCCTTCGTCATATGCTGTGGAGACTGTCAAACATGTCAGGCTTGTTTTCTCTTGGGAGGTGTCAATTCTGCCTCTACATTCCACACAAGGAATATTGGGTAGAGAAGCTTTGTCATGGAAATCTTAAAATTAGTGCTGTTTGTGTACAGTCAAACATAAAAAGTAGTTCGAAGTCAAGTTATTGATCATGTTTATAGTTTGGAATGCACTGTCTTTAACGCTGCATTCGGGTTTCATTGCATTACTAAATGCATATTGTTACAAATAATTTCTTATTCTTATTGCATTACTTTACTCTATTCTAAATCTTATATATATATATCTATTTTAGTACATGACAGCCGAGCCAGGAATACTACTGTCTAGATATCGAGCCACCACCGTTTATTATCGTCTGTTCTTTGATATCAAACTCCTACACAGAGTAAGTATTGCTAGGTAACATTTCACCAACTGGGGGGGGGGGGCGAAGATTGTGCCTATTAAATGGAACTAACCAATCAAATTTACCATAACTAATTACCGTACAATTGCCATGTTACTAGCTTGGATTGTAGTCGACTATATGTGGGTCATATCTAGTGATGTCCCGATGATCGATTATAATCGAAAATCGATCGATAATAGTCTCAAATTCGATAATCGATTATGAAAACAAATAATCGATTATCAAAAATACAAAAAAAAACTACTAATTTTTTTTTTTAAATTACTAAATCGCAACATGGACATGTATTGGTAGCGAAGTAGAAGTGCATCAGTGTGTAGTCCAGAGGACACCTTCATGAATCACTGTTAACATAGGTCCTGTCTGATTGCAAAGTGGTACTAGTGTACTTATAGACATGGACAAATTGGACAGTGTCTTTGTTTTGGTTTGACTCTGTCCCACAGATGTTATCCGTAGATCAGATTCTACTCTCCGTATTGTTTGTTACATTATGTTGGAGAGGATATTCCATTGGCAGGACATTAACTCGGCTACACAGCCTACACTATTAGAACACAAACAACTTACTTACTATAATAAAGAACATGTCTTGATCATGTTTGGTTTAAAACTTTTAATGTTTTTATAAAGGCATTTAAACCATTTCTTTTTAAATTGATTAAATACTGTATAGGAACAGACATTGATATACATACAGCAACCTTCACAGAGTTAATAGGCCTACATGATCATAAAACATGATAATATTGAATGCTATGTATAATTGTATATACAAAGTAAGATTAAATGAAATCTATGCTATTATTAACCGATTATAATCGATTATCGATCGGTTAAGGGAAACCGATAATCGATTATGAAATTCCAGCCGATTCCCATCACTAGTCATATCTGTGTTATTCAACTGGCAACATCGATTGTCTTTAGAGTTGTGCTTAATATTTCTTTCAATGCAGGAGCCAAGGTCTTCATTTCACCCACCCGGCTCAGAACAAATTGTCAAGTCTTCAGGGGTATGTCTGCCTTTGTATTTAGCTTGTCTTGCTTAGTCAGTTGCAGCTTTAACATTAAGTGAGTACAATCAAAGTGTAAAGTTCTTTTCCATGTGAACAATGAATATGAAGCTGCCACATATGCTTGCACACTACTAATAACCAAGATTCACGTAATACGTACATGTTCAAGCTTTAGAATTATCAGGGATGAGATTGGATAATTTAATTTTCAGCTGAAATTTTAATTAGCAAACAGAGGAGCGAGCAATGGGAGGACCGTAGGTCATCGCCATGCTAGGGGGGTCCGGGGGCATGCCCCCCCCACGAATTTTTTTTAAAAGATTGGTGCAATTTGGTGCATTCTAAGCTATTCTGAACACATAGGAGACTCTTGAATCACCTTTTCAAGTTGTCAAAAGGAACAAACGAACTATAATAGGAAATCAGGGGGCTGAAAATAGGGCAAATTTTTTATTAAATGTCTAGACATAATGATATTTTTCTGTTTCCACCCGTCGCTTGCATTGTTTTACTTAGACACAACATCGCGCTGCCTTGCTGCGACGAGATTTGAATGAAAAAAACACAATGCGAATGGAACAATCAGTGCATAGTCATGCACACAACATGCACACAGCAACATGTAAACCCGGCCCCCAGGCCAGGCATGGTCGTTACGTGATCAGCTACCTCAAATGTTTGCCCCTCTACTGCACCCTGTGAACGAGGATTTTCTTTTCTGGTACGCAAAAACAGATACACTGTATACTTCGCTGTCAGCCTACTGTCTACACTCTACAGTCTACAGTCAGGTGCTGTTGAGGGTATATAATTTAAATTGTTACATTGTTACCCCCCTCCCAATTTTCTCAACGAATTTTTTACATTGTTACCCCCCTCCCAATTTTCTCAACGAATTTAGACGTTTCACAAAATCGACCCCTGGGACTGTCAAATCCGCGGATTTCCGCGGATCCGCGGAAGAATCTCATCCCTGAATTATGTATGCATTTTTATGCCATGAAATTTGTGCTGTCACTTTTGGCATTTCCCTTGACAGGCTGTCGTATACAGCTGTGAATGTTATCACCTTTTATCGCATCCATGAATTTTCGTACAGAAAACATTCAAGGATGATGGTCATATGTACCTGGTGGAACTCACACCAAAGCGGGACCTATTGGAGCAGTTGCCTAAAGAACGCCTTCCTGAACTTTATTTCTTTGTGAGACAACTGATGAATGCGAGGAAAGCAAAACTCATTGCCATTATGGAGTATGTACCACATCTGCAATAAATAATCCAGGTTTCTTTCTCGTGTGAGATATAAATAAACATCAAATTCAGGCCTATGAACAAGTCAGTAATGAGTTCATTTTAATATTTTACCAGGCAGTGGGTACCAAAATGTGGTCCAAGACTTATAAAGCAAGGCTACACAATTTACACACGGACAGGAGATTTAACACCGAGAAACTACATGGAGGTAAGAGGAGTTAATGTATAGTGTATAATGTCACGTTGTAGAAATGTCAAAATTTAGTTTAAAGTAAAAACGTGATTACCATGTCTTTCCGATAAAGAGCTTTGAATTGTACATACATGAGGTCAGGAGTCTATCAATATTGATAGACTCCTGATGAGGTGTCAATCCCTTTATATATATATATATACATACAGGGCCATAGCAATCCCATTTTGCCTGGGAGGGGCAAAGCCACATGCGTGGTGTGTTCTGGGAAGGTGACCGCCATTGACCAATGGTCCATGTATTGTATACAATTTTTTCTGGGGGGAGGGGGGCCTCGATATAGAAGCACTTAAAACACATGTACTATTTTAAATGATAACATGTTACTTTCAGCACTATTTATAATTATTTTCCACTTCTGTTCACTTTTAGTAGAAAAATTAGGTAAGTTCTCCCCAATTTATAAAATTACAGGTGTTCAAGCAGTTATCTTCATGGTCGGAATATCCAGACAGCAGCTTCAGTGCAGCCATCCAAACAGTGAAGGAACAGATGGATGATCTAACGTCCTAGCAGTAATATATGTGCAGAATCGCAATTGTAACATAGATGCAATAATGTTGTCATTGTATGTGTATATAAAAAACAACTTTATGTATCAATATTATACATGAGTAAGTTTATTTGTTTAAAAAAAATACTTACTAAACCTTATCTATTATATTAGGGAATGTTAATAATTCCAAATATTGACAGATCACAAAACAAACATTTCTATATTTTACTGTATCGACACCCAACATAGTAATTACATTATTTTAATTTTCATAACAAAACATCCCATCACACAGATAGTTTTAAAAAGCCACTATAGATATATGATATATACATCACAAAAATATATATTTAATTTAGATATATAATGAACTTAGCTTTATGCTGTTTTTAAATTAGCGCAATAATTTTGGTTTTTTATCAGGGGGAGGTTTGATCCCATCCGTGGGAGCAGGTCGCCTTTGTGCCGCTGACTGAGTTGGAGTCTCATCCTCCTCTTTCTCGAGTTTCACATCTACTTTTTCCTCCGATGACTTGTTCTCCTGGTCAACTAAAAACACGTAGCATAAACATGTTCATGTGTTTGGATTGTAAAATATACATGAATGATTAATCAAACAGTTATATTGTGTCATCGGTTACTGCATACATGTATAATATCAGCAGAGCAACAAGGTATGTTGAGAATAAAGGACATACTTGGTTTTTCTGGTGGAGGTGGTGGTGGTGGTTGGATTGACTTCGGAGGGAATCTTTTTGAAAGGTCTTCTAACAATGCATCTACTCTCTGTATCTGGAAAATTGATCCCTGTTCATCTTTCTTCTTTTCTTTCTTTTTGTTTTTTGTGTCTGAAAAATTAAATGTAAATAAGCCATATAGCCTAATTGAAAGATGAGCAATTTACTCACAAGGAAAGAAGATAGTTTTAATCATATTACATGAATAGTATGTGTTATGTGGGCGTCTATAGCTGCAACCACATTCTAGCTATGTCAATAGCCAGTGATGCTGTACGTGAAAATACACATTCCTTCTTAAAGTCAGACACACTCACATACATTAAAATTCGTCATAATATTTCACTGAATTACTGTGTAGATGCAGGTAATGATTTCATACGTTGCACATTGCAGGTTGGTTTAATGTTTTACATCAAGAAACATACCTTGCTGTTTTTCCTTAAACTCCCACCAGTATCCTTTAGATGGATGATACCTTGAAAATGACAAGGCCTCCTCAAATGCTGACTGAAGATAATGAGTTGTGTTAAGCTGGAAAGAAATGATGCAAATATAAGGCAAGGTAACTACATCTATATTTTGAGCCCAGGCTAATAGTAAATTTTCCATTCTCCCAATGATTGACACTTGCCCTACAGTTGTGACCTGCTACTGTACTGTACTGTGCTGTTGTTACTGTAGATTGCCCAATATATGTACCAAATATAATCACTGTCAGGGAAACACTAGATTTATGTCACCATTGTTTTGTCATTGCCATTCCACAAGGTCAACCCCACAGTAGACGTGATCAAATTCACTATAGCGAGTCGGTTATTGCCTGCTATTTTTTTATCATTTTCAATCTAATTAATTTTTAGACCTCGCTCACCAGACGGGAGTTGATGACTGAGCACAGGTCAGGTGCTTGATACACAATGCCTGCTATGATGTAGTAATCGGCCAGTGGAGTAACTTGGGTGGACGAGTGTCGATGTTGCTTCCTCACGACATAGAGAATTGGTTCCTGGACATGCAGAAGGATGTACTCCAGCCCTGACATGTTGCTGCCAAAGACAAACATACACTCATGTACAAGGTTCACTACATGATCAGACCAGAGAATTTCCTGGCCTCTTGGTAGAGGTGAAACTAGTAGCACGGCATACAAAATTTTGTGTGGGCATGATACTTAACCACATTGCATTATCGAGACAATTCATCAAAATTAAGGACCCTTATAGCAGTGCATGGGTACTATTATCGACACGTGAATAAACACGTATACATAAATGCCTGGATGCATGCATATTTGTGTGCTATATGAGCTAGCAACACTCGTGGAGGGGCACGTTAGCTTTAACAGTAAGGAGCTTACTTTAGCTGCTCAAGACCAAGCCTTTGCATCTTCACAACCTCGTTGTTGCATGTTCGATCGTAAAACGGGTTGCTGCGGTCCGAGAAATAATCCATCACATTTCCTGGGTTGAGCACTGGTATCCATGCAGTGTCGTGCCATGATATACTCAGTGGCGCCTCTACAAAATAGGTTATTGTTTCCCTTATATTACACAGTTTGAGCATTTTATGCAAAATCCCACAAAAATCCACTGTGGTCAAGCATTCGAATGCAGCTATACCTCGAATGCTGCAATATGAAACCAATAAGAGTGTATAATCCAACCAAGAATAACCAGCCTTGATAAAACTCTTAAGAGAGACCACGTCAGTCTAAAACCACATGATAGAAATAAATAAATAGATGCTAGCTAAAACAAGATCATAACAAGGCACGAGAGAAAATCTCTTCTGGTTATAGAGAGAACACAATTTGAATAATAGCCTATCCATCATTTGTGGTAATGTAGTTACTGCATTCAAACTTGGGGAAACAAATTTGTTTCATACGTTTCACTATTCTTGTCAAGATGGACTTTCCACTTCTTTCATTAGCCTGATTATTAGCATGATTAGGCAGGATATCACAGGTATGTGCTTGCCAATTACTTCACTACATGTCCACTATATTGACATGGTGCCAACATCTATGCATTCCTACATTATACCAGCCCAAGCCCAGACACATGCTCAAACACATTATGGGGGTCCCAAACTATCCTTGATTGTGATCCCATATACCCACCACAATGCCACTGCAGAGGAACATTTGCAGGCACACCATTTACAGGAAAACACGTTTGATAAAATCGGGCGATTATTTGAGTCGCGTGACTATATACAATGCGCGCCCGAACAATGCGATACTATACAATGCGAGTATACAAATGCTCTACTACGTGCGCCCGAATGTACGATTCATCAGCAAATCAAATGGTGCCATTTTCAATCATGTGACTATCAATCTAGGTGGCGCGAGATGAATCGCCGATTAATCACGCTGAAAATCGCCTGTGTGTCCACTGAGTTGCCCGACTCAGTCGCCTGCAAAATCGCGTAGTGTGGAAGGGATACTAGACTCTTGGATTTTACTGCATACAACTGTACTTACTGTATAACAAATCGTCTATACCCACACGTACTTGTTACCAGATACCTAGTTTAATTGTTACAATTAATTATACATCAACGCTACGAAATTTGAACGGTGACGCCCGCGACTGTGCTGCCATCCTGAAAAAGTTGCGCATTTCCCAATATATTTTGCACGTTACAGACCGAGGGCTGCAATTATATTTATACCTAAATGCTATTTAACCGAACGATGTTCATTTTATGACAAATTTATCCATAATATAACTGAAACCATGTCGTTTATAAGATATTACAATCCTTCTGCTTATAAATTAATTAATAAAAACACCCTCGGTCTGTAGCCCTTGGCTGAAAAGTCATTTTGCGCCACTTTTCAGATCGTGCGCTTTGAGTGGCGCCACCGTCGTTGTAATCAAACTGTAGTCGTTAGTTTTAAAACATTTAAAAAATATATTTCTAATGGTGATTAAACCATGAAACTTTTTATGTAGCGTAATTTTAACCGAAATTAACCGAAAATAACCATACAACCTAGAGTAAAGGATCCCTTTAAACTATAAAGCTGTCTGTATCACGACACTGTCCCTATTATTACAGAATACACTACAGAGTAATGTATATACGGTAAACATCAGGTTTAGCGTCGTAAATTAACTTGCAAACGCCACCGCCAGATGTCGCTACATGGTCTATCGGCGTTTCGGGCGTATAAGTGGAACATCGTCAGCACTCTCGTAGTTCTGGTACAGGGTAGCGAAGGAGCCTTCTCCCTTCCTCCTTCTCCACCAGCTTCTCCCCCTCCTCCACCACCTTCTCCCCTTCCTCCTCCACCAGCTTCTCCCTTGTCCCCTTCCTCATTCTCCACCAGCTTCTCCCCCTCCTCCTTCTCCACCAGCTTCTCCCCCTCCTCCTCCTCCACCAGCTTCTCCCCCTCCTCCTCCACCAGCTTCTCGATCCCTTCTCCCCCTCCTTCTCGACCAGCTTCTCCCTTCTCCCCCTCCTCCTCCACCAGCTCCCTTCTCCCCCTCCTTCTCCCCTTCCTCCTTCTCCACCAGCTTCTCCCCCTCCTCCACCACCTTCTCCCCTTCCTCCTCCACCAGCTTCTCCCTTCTCCCCTTCCTCATTCTCCACCAGCTTCTCCCCCTCCTCCTTCTCCACCAGCTTCTCCCCCTCCTCCTTCTCCACCAGCTTCTCCCCCTCCTCCTTCTCCACCAGCTTCTCCCCCTCCCCCTCCACCCGCTTCTCCCCCTCCTACCACCAGCTCCATTCTCACTCCTCCTTCTCCCCTTCCTCCGCGCTCCCCCTTCTTCTCGCCACCAGCTTCTGCCCCCTCCTCCACCACGCTCTCCCCTTCCTCCCTCCACCATCTTCCTCACCTTCTCCCCATTCCTCATTTTCCACCACCTTCTCCCCCTCCATCCGTTCTCCACCAGCTTCATTCTCCGTTCTCCCCCCTCCATTTTCCCCTTATCCTCTTCTCCACCAGCTTCTCCCACCTCCGTCCACCACCTTCATCCCCTTCGCGCTCCTCCCAGCTCTCGCCTTCCCCCCTTCCTCATTCTCTACCAGCTTCTCCCTTCTCCCGCCTCTCCCTCCACCAGCTCCCATTCTCCCCTACTTCTCCACCAGCTCTCCCCTGCCTGCCTTCTCTCCACCAGCTTCTCCCTTCTCCCCTTCCTCATTCTTCCGTACTTCTTGCCTACTTCCAAACTAACTACTTCTACTTCTACATCTATATTGGCCACCATCGAACATACTGACGATTCTGCCAACGGGAGGTTGCCTAGTTGAGAACAAAAATAAAATTTTCCTTCCCCTTTGATTTTCTAAAAGTAAAAACAACAAAAAAGCAATTTTAACTTTAAAAAAAACTGCCGCTGATGTCGTTTTAGCGCAGTAATCAGAGACTCTCTAATCTGACTTATTATGACAAACTCTCGCTTGGCCAACCCCCCCCCCGCCCCCCCCCCCACCCCCCCCCCCTAACTTCTGTGGGTAAGGCGTTCCACTCTGTATAGACCTGGGGAAAGAGGAGGCCTTTTCCTGTAGTCACATCCTGCACGTAGGAATTTGAAAAGAGTGCTCTGGACAATGTTCCTGTGCTTCGATTAGGTGGTATGCAGCATCGGTTGTTGGTATCCAAGTTGACCGATTGCCTATGACGAGCTTGTAGCACCATAGCCAAAGCGGCGCACCCTTTCGTCTTGACTTCCAGCGTCGGCCAAGTTGAGTGTTTCAAGGCATGTCAGTAACAACGCGACCTGTTTTGGTGGCCGGTTGAGAATACCCACCCCACGTGCTGTCTCGTCTTTGGAACCACATCCTCCTCAGATGCTTGGCAGTCGCTTGCGCGCTGATATGGATCCCCATACATGCTGGCGTACTCCAGCCGGCGAGGGCCGTCTAACAATCGAGGCTATAGCGCAAGGTGACTTAACTTCATTGAGGAAATATTAAGGTTCAATTCTCAGGAATGATAGAGTTGTCTTAATTTGCTTTACTACAAGATTGAGCTGATGTGCGTTGTCCATCCATAAGTCTGCATGTTAGTGTGACACCCAGTGTACTTTGCTGATGTGGCCACGTTTAAAGGCTCCTTTAGTGATGAAAAATAGGTTCACATATATCCAATTATACTATGTTTTGTACAACTAACTAAGAGAAATTTAGCCAGGTTGAGATGGGTATTTCGACGGTGTATGAGAAAAACGAAATTTTTTGATGAAACACAATGTTAACGCAATATTTGCGGGAAACGCAAAAGCGCCACCTACTTTGGCGGCTATGACGCGTGTGACGTCAGAACTAGGCACTAGCTCCGCTTGGTTTACGCTGTTGGCCAAGCGTGTACAATGGAGCCTGTACAATGTACAATGTGAACAACCGATTCAGAGTCGTCTCTAGACTACATATCAGTTTTCGACGATTTACGGATGGAGCAGTCCAATCAGCATTGATAAAGATGCCAAATTGAAGTAGACATAGACAATGAAGTATGACCATGTTAGAAGATAGCTTTGTATTCAGCTGCGTACATCGTTTAACCCGTTGCCAATGATTACCGCTATACGCCCGACGCAGCGCTGTGCGACGGGATTGTCTATACAACAGACGGAATGGATATTCAAACCCTAGCAATACCGTTTCTTGGAGCTACGATTACCCAGCATAGTTTAAGGGCAACCGTGCCAAGGCAACGTGCGATGCCTTGTTCAATTCCGTTTGCCAAAGTTCAAGGCAACGTCGAACGGCAGCAAAGGAAGACTGCTGAATGGTGGTTAGCTCGAGTATTTCATTCGGTTATTGCCGTTAGTCACACAGCCTGGTTCGGGGTTATAGTAGTAGTAGTAGGGGTGAGTATTGCGACAAAAAAACCGTATTGCAATATATTGCAATTGACAAAACCGATTTCGGATATTCTCAATACGTATTGGAAAGGGGTCATACCTATGTGTCCGTACCTATGTGTCCCAGTAGCCGTACCTATGTGTGTCCAGGTACCTATGTGTCCCAAGTACTATGTGTCCCCAGTACCCAGGTACCTGTGTGTCCCGTACCTATGTTTCCCAGTACACGAAACAACGGATTTCAGCGTTAAGGCCTAGGCTGTTACGGTCATGACCAGCAAACAAAAAATTAAAATGTTTTTTAGTTAATTTCAATAAAAAACTCAGTTCAGTTCACAATTTTTGCATTAAGCGGGGGACACACCATCGCGAAATTTCGCATGGTATAAGCATAGATATATACAACACATATATGTGTTGTATATATCTATATGGTATAAGCATATAAGAAAGCGTGGCCGATGACAATCAGGGTGGGCTCAGGTCGCAGTGATACATGTACATAAACGTGATGTTATACATTGTATCACGCAAAGCCAAGCAAGCATTTTATTCTCTCAATAGTACCCCCTTTTAATATGGGGAACATAGGTACCGGGAAACATAGGTACCTGGGTATTGGACACATAGGTACGGGAAACATAGGTACGGGGACACAATAGGTACTGGCCGGGACACATAGGTATGGACCCATTTGGAATGTGTATACCATGCATTGATACTAGTAACAATTTGAATGGTTTTTAATATCATCATATATTGTATTAATGACATGATTTAATTTCTCATGTTTTTTCTTGAGAAACGAGAAGCCACGGCAATGTTTTCCGCTGACAGTGCAGCCCCTCTGTCTGTAACAATGTCACCCGCTGTACTGAATACCCTCTCGGATAGCACTGCCCGCTGGCTGGAATCACAATACCCTGCTGCATAATTGGCTAATACTGGATACTGAAACTGAAACTGAAACTGAAACTGAAACAGTGGGTGCTCGCTTCAGCTTGTATCGCGCGGCGCGCGCGGGCACTTCAGGTGACCATAAGGCTATATATAGCCCCCTGGTTTGCCGTGCTCTCTGCCTCGCTCACGACGTCTGCCGCGCAGTAGTACCGCGCGCAGTGCTCCATGCAGTGGTCGCTTACCAGTAATATGTTATGCGCCGTGTAGGCATTGGTGTTCGAAATATAACACCGCCAGTGTAATAATTTTCGAGCCATTAACAACTAAGACATAAAGGCAAGTGCCAGTAATTTATTTCTTGTATATACCACCGTACGTAAAATATCGATATCCGGAAGTTGTATCGCGATATATCGAGTTTTCAAAATATATTGCAAATATACCGATATATCCGGTATATCGTTACACCCCTAAGTAGTAGTAGTAGTTACTAGTACTTACTAGTAGTACAGTGTACTACTACTAGTACTACTACTAGTTGTAATATCAGGCCCGTAGCCAGGGGGGGTTCGGGGCTCGAACGACCCCCCCCTGCTTGCCGCCGAGTCCCCCCAAGCAAAAAAAATAAATTTGAAAATTTGCAAGAATTTCACCTCGGGTCGCTCCATTTAGGTATATAATTGCAAAAATCTCCATCGTGCGGGAGGGGTGAACAGTGAACACCCCCCTCCCACACCCTCCCCCCGCTCGGGTCGCTTGCCTCCCTCGCCGGCTTCGCCTCGAGCAGGGCGTGTACGGGGGGGGTGCCGAGGAGTCCGGACCCCCTTGCTCGCGCAGAAAACGCATCTGAGGGGGTGTAATTTTAAAAATTTTCTGGGGGGAGGCCCCCAAGACCCCCCCTCCGCGTGTTCACAACTATGGTTACGGTTAGACCGTAGACGCGAATAATTCTGTCCCATATAACCTTTTTTATATTTTGGCTGAGGGTTATATTGGGACAGAACGGGTTCATTGAAATTTCGTGAGATCGCATGCAAAAATGGCACTGCGCTGAGAATGCGGCCGTACGCCGGCATTGGCGTGAAAAAACCTACCGCTCCCTTCTACATGGCTTTACCTTGCTACTGATATGTGTAATACATTCACTTCAAATCGTTATTTACTTCTTAAAAGATTTGTTTTCAGAAACACCGCCCTTCATTAACTTTAGTAAATTACGTTGGCGCATTTACAAACAATCAGACAATCAGAGCGAGTCTTACAATAGCCCTGTCTTCGCTTGTATCTGTGGCGCTGCAGGAGGCCTCTGATAGACTCGCTGTGAGTGTGATTGGTCTGATTGTTTGTAAATGGCCAACGTAATTTACTAAAGTTAATGAAGCCGGGTTTCTGAAAAAACAATCTTTAAGAAGTAAATAACGATTGAAAGTGAATGTATACACATATCATGTAGCAAGGTAAAGCCATGTAGAAGGGAACGGTAGGTTTTTTTCACGCCAAATAGCGGCGTACAGGCCGCGCATTCCAGCGCATGCATTTTGCTAGATACATAAAGTAACCCAACCCAAGAGAGATAGGGTTACAAAGCCTCCCTATCCTTTTGTGCGGAGGAATGCCCGAGTGAATCACTCGGCCGGTTTGCTTGGTGCGTTCCAGAGACTACAACTTCCAAACTGGGTTTTATTTCTCACAACGAACCTTTCCCCGCTATCTGGGAACTTACTATGTGTATCGCAATACTCGTATTAAACTAATATAACCTGTTACAAAATTCGAAGTGACGAGCGGCGAATATACCTGAGCGCCATTTCTGTTGACCTGTGACGTACGCATTTCCCAATGCGCATAGCAATCGGCAACGCAGCGCCCTCCGATTGGTCGGTGATCCGCTCTTCAAAACCGAAGTACGTCAACAGTCAACAGAAATTGGCGCTCAGTATATTCGCCGCTCGTCACTTCGAATTTTGTAACAGTTATATTAGTTTAATACAGAGTATTGCGATACATAGTAAGTTCCCAGATAGCGGAGAAAGGTTCGTGTTTAGAATAAACCCAGTTTGGAAGTTCTAGTATCTGAAAACGCACCAGCAAACTGCCGCAGTGATTCACTCGGGCATTCCTCCGCATAAAAGGATAGGACACTTTTGTAACCCTATCCTCTTGAGTTTGGGTTACATTATTGTATCTAGCATTTTGCATGCGATCTCACGAATTTCAATGACCCCGTTCTGCCCAATAATATAACCCTCACCAAAATATAAAAAGGTTATATGGGACAGAATTATTCGGTCTAGGTGAGACCCCCCTGGTACCTAATCCTGTACACTGCAACCCCCCACATATGAACCGAAATGACCCAAAATATGCCAACATTTGAAAACGAACCCCCCCGCCCACCCAATAATAATGCCAATATAAAGCTGGCTACGGGCCTGTAATATTGTACTAATAACAGCTAGTAGCTACGTCTACGTTATTTAACTTGCCTCTGTCATTCATAATTACCGACGTTGTATTACGGACCTTTGTAATAACGTTCGTTCATTTAATACTTTGCTACTTTACCACCAAGCTAACCAGACAGACTCCTGACTCCGAAGGTAGTTCTCTCGCTACAACAATGTTTTACACACGGGAGAAAATAATTGATAATTTATCACCTTATATTATGGTCGATAGATTGTATACACGTCTCTTTCTACTCGGTTAGTATTGGATTCTAACGTTGACATGAAGAGAAGTTGTCCGTCTATGTGCTGCGTACCAGGCGGTTGATGAAAAAAACGACCACTTAATCAGTTAATGTTCAAACCTAAACTAAATAAAACCAGAAAATAGGTTCATGGAAGCGGAAATAAATATAATATATGGAGAAAGTTACAAAAGATGACAGAAGACGGTTACTTTTTATGAAAAATGTATCAATCGTGTTGCTCCTAAGGGCAAAACAATTGGGTAAAACAAACGTCTCCGTGATGGCGTCGTGTTGTTAGTTGTGGTCTGAAAACAATCCATTGAAAGGCAGAAAGGCATTGTTTATTTTGACAAATCAAACCACATTACATGTTTTTGATAGGCAGTATTCCTCTCACTTGGTGGTCATGGCATCTGAAAAGGTACAAAATCTGAAGCAAACGAGAAAAGATTATGGGTCACTACAAAAGCAGGTGAGCAACGCAGGAATTTCATACACTTCCATTCCAGTTTCATGTTCTGTTCTGTCCACCGGCACATGCAGGCCGTATCAATTATATCTCTAGTACTATAGCCCTTGTTCGCCTCAGTACTAGAGCTATATCAATTATTGACCTGAGTAATTCTAAATAAACACATCTTACTAAAAGTAGGAAACACTAAAAGTGAACGATGTAGTAATTACCAAAACCATTCGACTGGAGGCTAAAAAAGACCCGGGTGACAAACCCAGACTCTTACTAGTAGCACTGGATGATAACAACAAGAAGAGCGTTATACTATCACTAGCTCTAGAACTATAGCCCTCCGCTCTGCCGCAGGGCTATAGAACATACTATGGCAATTTCCAGGGAGTAAGCAAAGACAATGTATTTCCAAGTGGAGGGGTGGGCAGGTTGCATCTCCACCAGCTTCTCCCTTCCCCCCTTCCTCATTCTCCACCAGCTTCTCCCTTCTCCCCCTCCTCCTCCACCAGCTCCATTCTCCCCCTCCTTCTCCACCAGCTTCTCCCCTCCTCCTTCTCCACCAGCTTCTCCCTTCTCCCCTTCCTCATTCTTCACTAGCTTCTCCCTACTCCAACTACTACTTCTACTTCTACTCTATATTGGCCACCATCAACATACTGACGATTCTGCCAACGGGAGGTGCTAGTTGAGACTAAAATAAAATTTTCCTTCCCTTTGATTTTCTAAAGTAAAAACAAACAAAAAAGCAAATTTTACTTTAAAAAAACTGCCCTGATGTCGTTTAGGCAGTAATCAGAGACTCTCTTATCTGACTTATTATGACAAACTCTCGGCTGCCATCACTTCTGTGGGTAAGGCGTTCCACTCTGTAATAGACCTGGGAAAGAAGGAGCCTTTCCTGTAGTCACATCTGCACGATGGGATTTGAAAAGAGTGCTCTGACATGTTCCTGGTGCTTCGAGTAGGTGGTATCAGACGGTTGTTGGTATCCAAGTTGACCATGCCATTGACGAGCTTGTACACCATAGCCAAACGGGCAACCCTTCGTCTTGACTCCAGCGTCGGCCAGTTGAGTGTTTCAAGCATGTCAGTAACACTCGACCTGTTGTGGTGGCGGTTTGAGAAGTACCTCGCTGCTCGTCTTTGGACCATTTCAAGATGTTGGCAGTCCTGCGCCTGATATGGATCCCATACCATGCTGGCGTACTCCACCGAGGGCCTAACCAATGAGGTATAGGCAAGTGACTTAACTTCCATTGAGGAAATATTAAGGTTCATTCTCAGGAATGATAGAGTTCTATTTGCTTTACTACAGATTGAGCTGATGTGGTTGTCCCATCAAAGGTCTGATGTTAGTGTGACACCCAGGTACTTGGCTGATGTGGCCACGTTTAAAGGCCTCCTTTAGTGATGAAAAATAGTTACATATATCAAATTAACTATGTTTTGTACAACTACTAAGAAATTTACAGGTTGAATGGTTTTCGGGTGTATGAGAAAAACGAATTTTTTGATGAACACAATGTTAAGAATTTGCGGGAACGCAAAAGCGCCACCTACTTTGGCGCATGACGTCCTCAATTGCCAGTAGCAGCAGCTATGGCAATTGCAGCAGCCTCCAAAGCTGACTCACTCAGCCTGTTCCTCAATCCTCACATGTAGTTTTTGACTATGCGCATGTGTGAACTGTTTAAAAGAGCTCTCTGCTGATTGGCTTAGCAGTGAGGGTGGCCAGCCAATCACAGCGAAGCACACAAGTGTGCTTTGGTTACTGCTCGCAAAATGGCGGCATTAACAAACGATCGATTCCCGCGCTGTCTAACTTTTATTGTGGTGGAATTTAATTGGGGCGGAGGTAATTTAAACGTGGCGCAACGATTGAAACGGGGGGGGGAGTTTTCCCAAACGGGGCGGGCTCGCCCGGTTTGCGCAACGTAGGGAGGGGCTTGCCTATGAGCGATACTGCGCGTGAATATTTGCTAATTAATTAGACTAATCGTGCTTCCATAGACTCAACATTCGCAGAGATTAAGGGTAAGACATGTGTCTATAATAGCTAGAATTTATAGAAATGTAACTCAAATCGTTCGCGCCATATGATAGTTAGAACACGTTCCTACCGGCCATATAGCCGCGCGTATATTATTAGCCTATGAGCGATACCGCGCGTGCATATTTGCTAATTAATTAGACTAATCGCACTTCAATAGACTCAAAATTCACAGAGATTAAGGCTAAGACATGTGTCTATAATAGCTAGAATTTATAGAAATGTAACTCAAATCGTTCGCTCCATATGATAGTTAGTACACGTTCCTACCGGTCATAGCATAATAGCGTATGCGGCGGGAGTGAGCGGGGTTTATTTTTATTCTCCAATCACAGGTCGGAGCAATTCCTCTGTTTAGACGCATGTTCCGCGACTTGCAATAAAAATAGCAATATTACCTACAATCCCGTGCCGCCGGCCATACTGGTAGTCAGAATTGCGAACACGTGTTACCGATATGCGCAATCTAGCGATTTTACATCGATAAATTGTACATATGATAGTGTTAATATAGTAATCTATATTAGCAGTAAGTGGATCCCGGTTTTGCAGACAGGTTTACCAGCGCGTGTTGGGGTGCTAGAGTTCGATATGATTGTGCAGACCCGGTTTTACAGGGTGTTGCAGGCAGGTTTATCAGCGTGGGTTGGGGTGCTAGTCTGCTAGAGTTCAATGAGATTAAACAGGTCCGGTTTTGCAGGGCTTTGCATGCAGGGTTATTAGCGTCGCGAGATTGCACGCAGCACATATGTTCATGGACTTGAGTTTGTTTACATCGCGAGAGTTCAGAAATTTCACCGATTTTACTGCATATAGCTATCAAATGCAGCGTTTTATAACATCTGGGGTATGCACATTTGCCAACTGTCTGAAGTGTATGTAGTATGGACAAGTACTTTTATTCACTAGACAACGTAGCCAAAGCACGCTATATCTCAAGAAAATTTCGTGCATTGGGAATCGACACCCGTACGAGAATGGAGCGAGGACCACAACTTGTGCCCATCACGTACTTATTTGGATCTCATGAATTGACTACTTAACATTCTAGCCGAGACCATTTTATACTCTCAAGGACTTTCAGAACCACAAAAGCGAACATAATTAAAACAAAAGGGCGTGCAATTCTGTTTGGTTAATATTATTGAGTTTTTATATCAATAATTCAGAGCACTTTGTGTCATTGTCATTCCCGTGTTACTATCTGACTGGCAATTCAAAAGCTTCTCTAATAACAGACTTTACGTGGCATTAGTACTACACTGCTGTTACGCTAGTATGAACGTCTGTGTTCACACTCTGACCTGATTTCTATGGTGCGTGGTATGCATTGCGGCATCGTGATAGATGTCTCGCGCTACCGCGAGAAAATTCGAGAGATGGCAATGGTAAACAGAAACAGAACGCAAAATTGTAATCATGTATGATTTCATTGGATTTGGTGAATACGAAGGTTCTAAGACATTTTATCGTTACTTTAGACAATTGCTGTTACTCAAGCAATAATGGTAGGTATCATGAAAGTGGGGAAAACACTGGAAAATTCTCGCAATAGACACTTTAATAGGCGAATAAAATGAGCAGAGGTGCGTTGCTCAATGTACTTGTACCATGCCTGAACTGGTTTCTGGAACCGTCATGGCCGGCGGCATTGCATTGTGGGTAATTTGAAAATTCCCGGAAACCTCTATAGTAATCCTACTCGAAGTACTCGTGACCTTCTTGTGGTTGGCTGTCATTATGGGGCATCTAAATGTTTTTTTATGTACTCTTTATCGCCCAAACAATTCCCAGTAACATCATCTATAATACACAATCTTGATCTGTAGTACATAATATGCTCATCTGTAATACACAATCTCCCCACATGAACAGCATTTTGCACAAGCTCATAAAAGGTGGAAGGGAGAGCAGGTGGTGATTTTTGATTTTGGTGAATGCCAAAATTGAAAACTGACTAATTCATTTTTAAATATCACAGCACAAATCATATACCATCATTCAAGTGCCCACTTACTAGCTTTCCACGGGGTTCAGCTCTATTTACCAGAATAAACGTTTTTTCTTCCAGTTTCTGGCACTCAGCAATGATTTTCAGCTGTATCAGAAATCTGTGATAGCAGATGGTGGGCATGAAACAGTCAAAGCAAAGAAACTGTATGAAAGTTGCCTCAAGCTAAAGACAACAGTGTCGATCACTATCCAGAAAGCTGCCAAAATAGAAACAAAGAAGGAAGCCCAAAAGAAGGAGAAAGATGTGCTTGTCACAGATTTTGAAAAATTGTTGGTAGGTATGAAACTACAGAATTCCTACCCCATGATTAGCTGTATACACTCAAGCTTTTACAGTTTTATGCAATATTTTATTTAATTTTAATTTTTCTTCTTATTTGATTGTTAACAATAGGTGCTACCTCTGCACATGCTTATTTCCCCATATAACAATGCATGAGAGTGATGCATTGCCTGCATACGTGTGTAATGAACCATGGCCATTTAAACACTGATGACGTCAGATACAATATACAACCAGCATTTTCACGGTATTCATTATGCCAGAATCTATCGGCATGAACCCTCCTAAAGCTGTCATCTGCCAGTGGTAGTTACATTTGCTGCGTGGTCAAAAATAGCATTTACACCTCATTACATATAGGTCTGGATTTGTTGACAGTAGCTTGGGGACGTCATGCAGTACACGTCGTTCGTGCGTTTTGCATGGAATTGCGATGGTAACCTCGTAATTTCTGATAATTTCTCAAGGTGCACAGAACATTTTATCAATTTAGTGGTTTCTCTTAGATAGATAATAATAGTAGGATGATAATAGGTTTATTGCAAAACTAGTGTTAACAACGTTACAATTAAAATAAATTTTGCAAACAAGATATCATCAGGCAGTATGAACTGAAACTCTTAGTCATGGATATGTCGCAGTAAGTACTAACAGTAGATGTTTCAGATGCATTCAGTTTCACCCATGCATTTTGCACGAGTTGTGTGTAAAAATGTAAATATGAGGTGACCCATTTTAGGCTAGGCCGCTAGACTGTATGTTTAACGATTTACCGTTTTTGATCGTTTTTGTATTTTAGGGTAACATTGATGCTCTTGCTAAGAAACTGGAACCAGATCCAGTAGAGGATGAATACTTCAGGTTAGTGGTGAATCAATGCTAGCCAATTATTTCATGTTTAATGCACAAGCATTAACCACTGTTACTGTCCTCACCCATGAATATGTTTTGTTTTCATTTATAGAAAGGCTTCAACTGAAGGCTTTGATGAGAATGACAGTTCGAATGGTGAGGATATTGAGGCGAGTAGTGAGGAGGGGGAAGCCGAGGGACAAGTAGGTGATGATGGTGAAGGTAAGCTAATGAGGGGGAAACTGAGGAGGGATTAGGTAAAGGTAAACGTAAGCGATGAGGGGGAAACTGAGGAGTGATTAGGTAAAGATAAACGTAAGCGACGAGGGGGAAACTGTGGGATGATTAAGTAATGATGAATGTAAGTGAGAAGGGTAAAACTAAAAAGCAATTAGATTAAGGAGAAAGTAAATCAGAAGGAAAAAAGTGGAGAGTTTTAAAGGTGCATAATTATGTCTCACTCACTAGCTATTCAATGCCACAGATGTAAAGAGCACAACAAGCGGAACAAGAGGGTTTCATGTGGTACAGGAGTGTGTATTGCCATGATATAATGTTATTTAGTGCAGCATATAAATTTAAAAGCTAATTCAGTACTGAAATGCTATTTAGGTACAAAAATTATTGATTATTAAATGATTGTTAATTTGATCAGTTATCACGTGTAATTTCCTTATAACTGTAGAGGCGAGCTCTGGCGATAGTGACGAGGACGTATCTGTAGAGGAAAGTCAGGATGAGGATGAAGAAGAAGAGGAAGAGGAGGGAGAGCCAGAAGTAGACGATGAACAACACTCAGATGGATCTCACCAGTCTATTAATGCAAGTGCATATCATTGCAGTTCATGCATGCAACAACTATGTACAGAAAGAAATCGTTAGTAAGAACATGTTCTTTGACGTACAGGTTGTATCGTGTGAATTTGTATAGGTGGATGTAACATGCTCCATTAAATGCATATGCGTAAAGTATCCATTCCTGTAAAACATGTCCAAGTTGGCTTTAGAACCGGATGTATATGCATTTGATATGCTATGAATTAATTCCATTGCCCTTGGTTTATGCAATGGCAAACCAACAGTGCACTATCTTGTCGCTCCAGCAAAGATTCCCATCCCTGTTATAATTTCACCTGTTCATATTTTTGTTGCAGGTACATTTGTTTGAAGCTGTAGCCAATTTCGAGGGCCAGCAGAAAGAGGATCTAAGCATCAAAGTCGGGGATGTGTTAGCACTAATTACAGCAAGGTAGTTAGAGGCTTCAATACAGGAGCAGTGTTATCCACATAATAGAAGCAGCATGATTACAGGGCTCCCCTGGATGTTTTAAAGTTTGAGCCAAAACTTGAGCCACCAAAGTTATTTTTAGCCACCATTGAAAAACTATAGCCACTGTTTCCTTTATCATTATGTGCTAAGCAAGGCATAAACAGGTGATAGGTGTGGGAAAATAGGTGTACGAAAATATTTTATGATACAACACTGCAATTTTACGATTTAATTATTCAATCATAATTTTGTGAGCAGTTAATTCATTCGTGAATTATAGTCGCCACTGGTATTTATTTCTCACATTTTGCAAAGGTGGCGAACGCCAGTGATAGCCCTGTGATTATGAAAGTTATGTGATATGGAAATATGGGACTTTGTACCAACCAATAAATATAAGAATGCATATTACTTCATTATATAAGTAACTATTCAAGAAAGATACAAATAATTTGTCTCATTATTTTCAGAGATGATGGTTGGTGGTTAATGGAGAATAATAAACAGGAAACTGGCCTTGTTCCTAGTACATATTTAAAGGTAGGAGTCTCTCTCAAGTGAAGCTATATGTGCAATAAATATTCCTACAATTTGAACATTTATGTAGTTATCATTTGATATCTAGCTTTTAAAACTGGGAAAATTGTGTTTATAAAGTGCATCTGACATGACATAATGTAAAATATTAAATGTTTTCCATCTCTCTATTAAACAGTGTTAAAAGGCTAGCTGTTAAAGTCGATACTAGGTAGTGTGAAATTCAATAATTCCAAAGTTATACTTTAAATATAAAAAGTAAGTTTAGAAAGGTAATTAAATTTTCTTTTTGTGTTTAATATCTAAAGGTGGTTGACCAAGACAAAGTAGAGGATACAAAAGATCGTCCACAATCTAAGAGTTCAGCGCTATGGAGGAACATAAAGCAAGCAGTTGCCGAGGTACTAATTTGTGCTAATAATTGAAACATTTTTCGATTGATGGATTTTCTTCCAAAAGTAAGAACATATTAAACAGTTTGTTTATTTCCTGTTTCAGAGAGATTAATGCTCACTGGTAACATTTTGTTAGAGGTAGCTTGAACATTAGTATCCTCGGAATGTATCAATGCTACTATGCCATTTGTTGCGACAATAATGCTATTTACACAAATGCTATTACAAAATGTTTACAAAGTGCTATTAGATGGCAGTGATGAATCACAAGGGTTAGCATGACTAATGTGGTTTCTGATCATTGGTTTCTCTATGTGCTAAAGGTGGCACGATATAGTTTTAGTTTAGACGATAAAATATACAAAATCTCATGTTATTGAGTAATTAGGTGCATTTAGAATCTACAGTGTAACTTTTTTATGCAGATTTTTGGCTAATACTACAAACTAGAATCAGATTGTCTAAACAGTGCAATAAGGGTCAACAGTCTTTGTGCTAAAAGATGGGAGATATTTTGCAAATTAATAAACGAAAGCAAATCTTGCCCAGAATACCACCTAGTGCCAATTTTCAAATGATTCTGATATGGCCTTGTTACTATAGCCAAAGGCCTCTAATCCGACATGTCCTGGGGATAGATATGTTCGTGGTTATAGAAATTACTGGACATATAATTATTATACTAATCTTTTATGTAGGGTGCAGTTGATGTGCAGCTACTGTGTGTGTGTGTGTGTTTTCTGTTTTTCACCGGCAAATTAGGGCATATAAAGAAGGTATATAAGCATGAAAAGTAAACAGAAACACTAATTGTATTTTCATACATTTTATTTTGTACAAATAACACACAAATATACTACTTGATGGTACTAGAAATTCGTGACGTAATCACTTTAGAGAAGCAAGCAAATCACAAGCACTAATAATGGGAGACTTTAATTACAACACAATAAATTGGAATACACTGGAAGCAGACTGCACTGATGCAGTATTCTTAGATCTCATTGGGGACTGCTTTCTTATACAACATGTTAACATACCCACCAGAGGGAACAATATATTAGACTTGGTCCTCTCAACTGAAGAAGGAATGGTAGAAAATCTATCAGTAGACGAACAGCTTAGTAACAGTGACCATTCAATTGTCAAATGGGACCTGATATCTTCTATTGAAATCGAGGTACAAGATAAACTAATTTTTGACTATGACAAAGCAGACTATGCAGGAATGAGATCATGCTTTTCAAACACGGACTGGGACAAGTGCTTTGAAGGAAAATCTACAAACGAAAATTGGACAACATTCAAGAACATCTTCCATGATGCTGTAGACAAATTTGTACCAAAGAAAAGAAGTAGAGCAAACAATAAACCAAAATGGATAACTAAAGAAGCGTTTAATGCAAGGACTAAGAAACACAAACTTTGGAAAAAATACCAGCAGTCCAAAACCCATGAAGACTACACTGCATACAAATTAGCACTTAACGCAGCTACCAAAGAGATAAGACATGCAAAAAAAAGCTTTGAAAAGAAACTTGCTGAGAATATCAAATATGACACTAAATCATTCTATGCCTACACTAGATCTAAGCTGAAGACAAAAGACAGAGTTGGTCCTCTCACAAATTCTGATGGCAACACTATAACAGACAACACAGAAGCAGCTAAACTACTGAACAGTTTTTTCACTTCAGTATTCACAGACGAAGACATCATCAATTTACCCAAACCAGTTCAACTGTTCACAAAAGACAACGCATTGCAACTCAGCAAAATACTTCCATCTGAAGATGCAATACACAAAAGTCTCGCCAATGTTAAACCAAATAAAGCTCCTGGCATAGACAACATAGTGCCAAATGTCATTAGAGAAGTAGCGAAAGAAGTTGCAACTCCAATCGCAAAAATATTTGAAAGCTCCATGAATGATGGTGTGGTACCAGACGACTGGAGAAATGCGAATGTGACTCCAATCTTTAAGAAAGGAAAGCGCAGCTTAGCCAGCAATTATAGACCAGTTAGTCTAACCTCTATAATATGTAAAGTGTTAGAAAGCCACATCAGGGCAGCCATAGTAGACCATCTGAACCATCACAAGCTAATTAAAGACTCTCAGCATGGGTTCATGAGTGGGAGGTCATTCAGAGAGCTTTTTTGCTTTTTTGTCATCTTAAATATTTTTATTGAACTATTTGATTATGACTGATTTGATCTAAGCCCCATTACGTGTTCATTGCAGCACATTGCCAGATGTCCTAGTTGCTCCACTGGGCTATTTGCACTTTGTATCCTTCTACAGACAGCTGCTAGCAGAAGCACTGCTTTGTGACAGGACCAGAATGGATAGTGCAGGTTTGTAGTTGTTTAATTTTTTCACTTATTTGCAAAATATAGTTCCAATTACCTAGCTTTTGACAACTATGCATCTAGGGAATTACATATTCATCATTCAGATAATGAAATCTGACAAGTAAATTTGCTATTTTTATCACTGCTATGACTTACACCTGTCGTACCTGACGTATAAGACTTGACATACACGGGCGGAAGAATTACAAGAAAAAGCAAATGCAAACTAATGTATGAGCATGCGTTTAAGCATGCACATGTATGTGTCACAGTGTTGGTGTGCGTGTGTGTCAATGCACTCTATTAACAATGAAAAATTTGTTTCAGAGCTCATACACTCGCCTCTCTTGTCAACATTTTCATCTGCGGTAGGCGTGCCTGATCTTATGGATGCACTTCAAGTTGTTTGGGCAGAAAGAGTGAAGACAACCCCTCGTTCAGAGAAGGTACCGATTTGCACCATCTGCACAGCCAAGGGTTGAACACAATTTGTGGCATTATTCCATCTGCAAATATGAGAATATAACAAATATGTCTTAAGGGCTGGTTTCTATCGAGTCACTGTTAAATATAACACTTAGATGCTTCCACACTAGATGAATGCACTAATGCCCGTAATAACATTTGCCACTGGAATAACAAACATTGCTATGGAAACTTGGCTTAACAAGTAATTGTGTTTTACTTGACAGAGAGATGCGGAGCACATGAGAGAGCTGTTTGTGACAGTCTACATGGAGACTGTATACCCATTATTACACAACGCATCATTAGTGTGCTCAAGATTTGACGACCACAACTCTACAGAAGTATGTTGTCAATGCCCCCTTCATTGTACTTATCGTTGCTCTACTTTATATGTGCATGTGGCAGCTTTGTCAATGTGCCACCAATGTCAATCTCCTTAAAATGTCAGGAATTACGTAATGTTTAGCATTATGATTGTCACATGGCATCTTCTGATATCGGCTTTCATCATCCACGTAAGGAGTTTCTGAAGCTTCTATGCTATGCCTGTGAATTAAAGATTTATTGCTGAAATTAACCTTGGCTTCCATTCTAAACCATTAGATTCTATTAGGAAATTAATTTTCACCTCAATTTGCAACTTCTGCTGACCAGAACAAATTAACTATCTATTCAGTCATAATTGATTTAACGTCACTAACTTGCATGCATTTTTAGCTCATCTGACGAAGTCAGATGCAGCTTGTAGAATCGCATGAGCGTGCGTGCGTGCGTGCGTGCGTGCGCGCGCGCGCGCGTGCGTGTGCAAATGATTGGTTTCTTGTGATCTCGTTTCTTGAATAGACAAGTGTAACAGATGTGCTGTCTGCGTTTGGAGCAATCCCTGCTGGCTGTAGACCTTCCATGCTGGGTAAAGTACTATCAGGTAAGAGAAGTCAAACATCAGGATTATTTAAGCGCTATGTCACTGCAGTTTACATAGATGGTAATTGACAATACATCTTAATTTACACAATATATAATTTACATATTGACAATAGATGGTAAATGTTTGGGTATTTGTTCTTGAATAGTATATATTGTTTATGTACATGTAATTTCTTCATGTTTTACCATGCATCATTGTTTTTGTTTAGAGGGGCAGCATACTGTTGCATCGTACCTCGTTCCCAAGCTAAGTGCATCACATGCTGGTTTCAGGGATTTATTCTGGAACCAAAACAGTAACAAGGTATGTTATCTAGTTACACTACTGCTGCAGGCCCAGTGAATCTATTAAAACTATGTATCTAATAACTTAAAAGTAAAAGGCAATGATAGCTAAAGATAAAGCAACTCTTCATGACATCAGTTTCTGATACAGTGACTAGAAGCAACATGAATATATCTCTAGATAATACACAGTTTTATACTGCTAGTCTATTTATAGTTAGCATACTAAAGCTAATACACAATTTAACACTATCTAACGTGCTCACACAAACATGATCATGAATGCTTCATAGTTATAGCTCAGTCTACAGTTTCTCACGTTTTAATTGTTAATTTACCAGATAAGACAGAGGGCGCTACGGTTGCTGAGGATGATAACAATTGTTAGCTGTCGACGCATTCCATTCATCGGTAGAGGTAACCACAGCGGTAGCTTCTCTGAAACTTACATTTAAAAAAATTAAAGTATGACATTTTACTTCACTTATCAGTATATGCAGCATTTCATGCTCTTATTTTAATGAAGTAACAAAACCTATCGGTCATGACTGAAAGGTTTCTGAATGAAGGACTTGCATGTAAGTGTTTAGCTGGCATCCAATCATTGACTTTCATTCTCTTTGCTATAATCAATCCACTTGATTTTAGCTGACTAGCTAGTTAATTATTGCATACAATATTTTCAGCTCAAAATCTCGATGTTACCAGCAGACATGTGAGATTGTGCTTATTTGATGGTAGCAAGGTTAGTGTGCAATAGTGATTTAAATATATTTGAACCTTAAACAAGTTTGCTGTGATAGATGTGCTATTACTCTGTGATCAGTTGAGGAAGAGATAGTATAATAATCAATATTTGGTATTTATACTCAACCCAATCATACATTGGTTAGGTGTCAGAACTATTAGATAGTGCTGACACCTACCGTTCTTGTACTAGCAGTACCGTTCTCTCTCTCTCTCAATCTTATGCTTATGTAATATTGAATTATTTTCAGATATTAAGTAACATTCACACTGTTAGGGCCACATTCACAGAAAATCGGTCTACCACTTGGTCTTTTCCGAGCAGGGTGAGTTGTTATGCAGATAATTTACTCTTGTCCATGTGTCCATGTGTAAATGTCGATTTAGGTTTTTAAAGGTCCCACGTTATCATTAACAAAGCTTTTTGATCTGGTAAAGTCATCAGAGGCTCGTCTGTCACTATGTTCACATGACTTTCATGTTCACCTTGATTTCATTTTTCTCTTTGTCCTTAGCCTAACCACCTGCCGAGTGATGAAGAACCGACATGCTTCCTGCGTTCATCTGACATGTCAAGAACCCTCGGTGCACTGCTTGAGCTAGGCATCAGCTTCATCAGGAA